ATACTTGTAAAGAGCTCAGAGAAAAGGACTTGAAACTCATAACTCATGAGTATTGGGAACGAGAGAATGAGCTCCACAATTCGGAGCTGGGGAACATAAGGATCCCCCACAGCCCGCAAAAGCAGAGGGGGACCGTGACATGTCTTGCTCAAAATAAAAAAAAATAAAAAAATAATAATAATAATAATCAATTGAGTGTCATGTATATATAGAAGATAGGGCAAGTAGGGTTGATATTAGTTTGAATCCAAATAGGGATGTCAATCTGACTCCCTAATTTGGGCAGCCAGTGTGTTGAATCGTAAAAAGTCCTCACTTTTCAATACTTGAGCCCAAGCCGCCCCATGTGGCTTCTTGAGTCGGCTTTGGCCAGCCCATGATTGGGCCAAAAAAAAAAATATTGATAGATAAATGTAAATTATATTGATTAAAATTCATGTACAAGTATATCAGGTATATTCGGGCAAATCAAAATATCAAAAGATAAGATCTAGAGACCACATGCTAGAGACTCAAAATGGACTAAAACATGAGGATACAAAGAGAAGATTACTTTGTATGCATTCATTTTGATCGGTCTTACTATGCTATTCAAGTGTGGTCTAAAGTTTTTAAAAATCTTCATATTCTTTGTCATCCATATGTGATAGACCATGCTAGCAAGAACAATTTCATCCGTGTTAATGCTGCTTGCTTTTTGCTGGCAGCTACTGACTTTAGGGACATGATGGAGTTGCGTGGTAGCTTAGTATAGGACATGGCACTTACATTTCTTAAAGGTTGAACCCCAATCTTGAGAGCTCTCAGTGCCCTGCCCCTGGAGTATCGCGAGGAAGGTAAATTGCGAGATGCGTCCTAGTAGGCCAGGGAAAAAGAGTTTGCCCGTACACTGATGTTCACAAAGAATTCAATTCCATATCTTAATAATCGAATCATCACACTACGGCTGCCAGCAAGGCTGAGACTACCTCACTCCTGTCCTTTGCACCACTGAGTTATATTTCGGGAGGCCACTTACATTTCTTTTTTCATGAGATGTTATGGTGATTGATATTTGATTGTGTGAGTAATACAATTTTAGTTGGGCAGAAAGCAAAAAAAATTATATGTTCTCTTAGCAAATAATGAAAATTCCCTCATTGGACAGAGAGAAAACAATGAAGTTCTAAAAACAAGTACATCATCCAAGTAAATTTATTTTGATAAGTGCAAACCTCATTCAATTGCCTCTTGACTAACGACACCGAACACACAAGAAAATATTCCAAAAAACATTTCACAGCTACAAGTGAAAACATCGGTGTATGTTAAATATGTGAAGCCACAAGCAAAGAAAATAAAAAAACTTACAACTAGTAAAAATTGCACGAAATTTAAATTTTACAAAAAAATTTAGAGTTTCACAAATTGTTTAAAAAAGAAGAAGAGTAAGCCAGCTCAACTTGAGTCAAACAATATATTTTTGGTCCAGCTTTGACTTGGCTCAACTCTGGCCAAAAAAGCTCTAGCCTTTTCTTGCTGGACTGAGCACGAGCCGCAAGCATCGACCTGGGCCCGACCCGAATAATTTACATTCCTAGATCCAAGATGTGTATATAAACAGCGAAAAATAGGAAGTGTCCTTTTTAATAGATTAAAGGACAAATTTCATTAATCTAGATGGGTAGAAATCAATTAATGCTTTTGTAATTTTGTAATTTTTTTTTTTTTAAAATTTTCATAAGTCAAATCTATTAATATTGTATTGAAACTAAGTATTTCTGCCTATGCTTTTGTTCATAAAACAATTGACATTATTTTGGCTAAGGTATAAAACAAGTAAAAGTTACATTCACATATGTTCAGATAATTTCTTTCCTACTCTTAATTAAATAAGTTACTTATTTTAAAATGAAATTATTTACTTATAATTAAACTTCTTAAGCCTTGTCAAACATGCTCACAAATCACAAAAATAGAGGGAAAAAAAGAAAAAAAAATGTGAAATGCGTGCCAACCAAATTAACAATGATTGTTACTTTATAGTTCACGGAAAAGTCAGACGTCTTTTAATAATAATTTTTTGGAGAATGTATAATTAAAAAAAATTATATTTACGTATAATATTATTTTATTAAAGAATATGTGGTTGATAAGAAGGTAGAAAAATGAATTATAATTTAATAGAGCCAAACATGGGCTTAATTTAACGATGACCTAACCCAAAGTCAAGATTGTCTAGGTTATGGAGTGGGTTGTTTGCTAAAACTTCTGATAAAAAAATTAGTAGATTTTGAGAAAATTAATTATTGATTTTAATCTCAATTTTCTAGCAAAGTTTTTCAAACTTTACAGTTTAAAATGTAATTTAAACGTGAGTTCACAAGAATGTATGTGCATGTTAGGAGTAACGAAGTGAAAGTTGGTACGGCAGGACTTTAGTTAACTTGAAAGTTCATACAAATTACAAAATCAGAGCCCCAAAATCATACCAAACCACTTAAATTATGCATGCCCTTTGATTCATTAGAGGAAGTACAACTTGTGTCATATCTCAACCATAAAGACAAAATTAATTGTTGGAACTTTTAGGCAGCATAGGACTGTACTTAGCGTGGGTAAAGGAACGAAGAATGAAGGGGAATAAAAAATCGATTGGGTGTCATATAAAGGTTGAACCCTAATCTTGATGGCCTTCACCGCTCCGCCCCTAGAGTTTTGTGAGGGAGGTAAATCGTGGAATGTGTCCCAACAGGTCAGGGAACAAGAGCTATCTGTACACTACGCCTACAAAGAGTCCAATTTCATATCTCAGGAATCGAACCTCCATACTGCGACTGCCAGCAAGGCGTGGGATAACCTCACTCCTATCCTTTGTACCACTAGGCTATGCCCCGAAAGGCCGATTGTGTGTCATATAGAGAATTGGGCAGATGGGGTTTACTTTAATTTGGGACGAAGATGTTGGCAAAAATAACAAAAAATAAAAGTGTCATTTTTATAGATCAAAGGACAAGATTCATTTGATTTGGTAGGTTGATTTTCTCTAAAGTGTGCAAAAATTAGAACTTCTTTTATTTTATCGAATGCTTAAACTCACAAGTCAAGTTTGTGTCATGTGACCACTAGTCTATGAAATATGTTTTAATTTTGTCATCATTTTTTACTCATTTTTATTCACATAATAGAACTATCGAAGTACCAAAAAATAGGAAGAAAGTAAAAATAAGAGTAATAAATATTGCATTTGTTTTGTCATTGTCAACTGATCATAAGGTCTTGATTCTATTTATTTTTGAGAGATTAAAAATACAATTTCATACCAAAAATGAGAAATATTTATGAGATTCTTCACTTCATTATTAAGTTCGCGAGGTGATTCAAATTATTATTGTGTGTCATGTATGACAACATATGCAAGGAAAAAAAAGGGAATTAAAATTTTATCCATTATTACATGTTAAGTTGTGAAACTTAATTATTGTTGTTATGAAGAACAGTGTGTGAATATATTTTATTTTTATTTTTATTTTTTATAGACTTCTTTTCATCATAGTGAACTTCTGATGACCTGAGTTCTAAAGTTCGAGTGCCACTAAAATCGTATCTTGAACATCATATTGCACTTTCAAAAGTTTACAATTTACTTAAATAATATCATGAAATTATAAGACTGAATACATAAAATTTTGACGTCAACATAAAATAAAATACTAGAAGTTTAACAATTTTAATATCAAAATAATAATTAAATAAGTTCTTAAATAATAATAAAAAAAGCTTGGTGGGTTTCTTTCACTTACCAATTTGCCCGCTTTCTCATGCCTTAATTGCCACGAACCATCAATTTTTCTGAAAGGGGATAAAGGGGGATGTGAGACAAAATCTCAATAAGTATACAAGTACATAGATTAATATTTGTAAAAAATTTAAGGAACTTCATACATACATAGTGAGACATGAAAAATCTATACCGAACATAGGTGGTATGAAACTTTCATGCGTAACACTACTATACTCCGATCCAAACTTATAACATATATAAAGGACCTCATAATCAATATTCCAAAAATTTAACGTAGGCATATATATAATCCCATAAAAAAAATACTTATACACTTGCCATTTCTTTTGAAAATGATAAAAAAAATATTGGAATATTTGAGACTTCAACTCTTGAAGCACGTTCTAAATAATATACTATATTTGTATTCATGTGTATTTCACAGAGAAATGAATGTACTCGAAAATGGGACATATGATACATTTTTATGGTGGCCATCATACTTTGAGAGTTCTAATTCAATTGAACTTTGAATCTTAAAAGTGATAAAATCTTATCTTTATCTCAACTATATATCAGCTAATGTGATAAGATAATGAATTCAAAATAATAAAAAAGTCATCATCTCTATATTTTCTAAAATTAAATAAAGTATAGATAAAATCAAAATATTATCTTTTGATTTAATATTTCAATTTTAATTGAAAGAAATAAAATTGAAACATTATCTCAATTATCTTTTAGCATTAAATAAAATATAAATATATTAAAGTATTATCTTAATAGAAATTTGATTTTTATCTTAATTATTTAAAATTTCAATCTAACTAAAAGAGATAAAAGTAAAATATTATCTCCATTATTTAACTAAAATTAGATAAAATTTTAACAAATTGGGTTCAAACCCAAAAAATAAAAATAAAACAAAAAGATTGGGCTACGTATCATTTTTTTTTAATGGGCCAAAACTAAATTAATAAAATTAGACCATATATTTTATAGAACTACTGCAATGATGAAAGAAAACGTAATCTTACATTTAAGCAGATTTCTATAAATTTTGGTGTTCCCGTGTCTTTATTTCCTTATTGCAATTGAATTGATCACGACAGTATCAAATTAAAGTTTATAATCAATTTTGTGTATCACATTTGGTAGGTGCCAAAAAGTCCAAAAACCCATATCAATTAGTTGCAAGGTATTTACTAACAGTGATCATCAGATGGGTGTCCAAAACTTCATTTTTTATACCAATAAATCACCCAACATCTAAATCAAAATGCAGAAGACATTTCCAATGGTTAGACCACATTTAACTTGCACAGTTACATACAAAAGAATAAGGATAAATTTGTATTATGGGAAAACATTGAGAGAGAACAAATTACTCCTCCTTTCGCCACAAATCCTCATTTTACTTCAATACTTTTCGGTAGATAAACCTATTAACCCTGGCAGATACCATCAACCATGGGATGATTCCGACCTGCAATGGACATAAGTGAGCAATAAGAAACACCAATGGCTTGTTTGGGAGGTTAATTGTGCAGCATTTGATTTGACGATTTTAAAGAACAAAACAAAGCTAAAAGCCAAATAATGTTTTAACACCATGTAATAAATGTGCCCTGTGCACAGCAAGAGGGCATGATTTCACAGATATATTATCTTTTAGAAAAATGAAGAGTGAATGGAAATCCTCTAATCGGCTTCTCATAAAACATGTATGCCTGGTTTCCCTACATCGTTACAAGCAAAAGCATCCAACTTTCTAGATATTTTAGAATGACAGGAGAGAACCACGAAGATGTATGCAACATCTAATCTCGTTACACACTGTAAGGAGCATTCTAGGAACGAGTAGAATGGACACACCTACCAGTCTTAATGAGACACAAATAAAAAGTTAATAGTACAGTTCAACAACAAGCTAGTTACTAAGCCATAATCATGATAAACTTAAGGTAGCCTTTACGAGAGAAACTATATTCTTAATTAGAATAACAAAAAACTATGGAGTTCAACTGCATTACCATAACATGATCTTTCAGAGCTCCTCCAGCTCTCCAAGATAACATCTTATCTGTGAAAGAGTTGGACCATGAATACAATCAACATATCTTATCAATCCCTCAATGAGAAACAGAATATTGGATTAACTTTGAAGCTTGTGGGGGAGCCATTAGATATTTATTGGCATGTTAATTAGGGTAAAAATCGAGGAACCACAAAGTAGTTGGAAAAGGGAATTCAGAGGGAGAAATCAGGACCGAAGTTAATCACACAAGTGTAAGTGTCATGCCCTAGATCCAATCGATTTAGGTTGTAAATACTTTTAATATGTTTAATGCATTTAATTTTGACAAGATCTATTATTTATTTAAATTAATTTTGTGATAAATAATATTAAAAAATAGAGTGCGAAGATCCAAGTTTAAGTGATTTGTTAATCACAAGAAGCTGTGATTGTGAGATACAAATTACGTATGATTGGATCTTGAATAATCCTTGATCGTAAGTAATAACGAGATATGGATATCGTTATTATAGATAGACCATCACGTGTGGCATTTCTTACTTATGAAGTAAGTAACTGATCTCACAAGCTAAAGTGTGGTGACATTTAAATGAACACGTGGATATTTTGTCATAGAACAAAATATTGGAGACCTGCTAAGAGATTCCACATGGATAACTATCTGAGTGTCAGTGGTTAATCTCTAACGTTCGGTAGTGGAATTGGTCCTATGACTTGAGGTCATCATAGTGCCTTGTATGAGGACAGTCATGCTTTGACGGTATTGGATGTTGCTCTACCAAGGGCCGCTAATACGACATCGTTCGGGTATGTCAAGAATCATATGAAAGTTGTGAATGACCAATAGAGGATTCGTCGCTGTTAGACAGTGAGAGATTGTGATCTGTATTTCGTACAATTAAGTCAATAACGAAATCCTTGGCCAAGGTATACACATAAGTCGAAAAGGAGTTTTCGACTCATATTGACTTAATAGTAAAATGAAAGATATGATCGACAATCGAGATTGACACACTTTCATATCTCGTAATTGATCGGATCATATTGACGAAAGGATTATAGTTTCATGGTAAACGAATAGTTTTAGTTTTGTCATACCACGTGACATTTCCCGTCACATGTATTGCCCTGATACATTGTTAGATGTCAATTTGGGATGGCGAATGTGAATTTGTGATAAATTAAAAGGGTGTTTAATTTATCAATTTTGATTAGATCAAAATAATATTTCACGTCGTTAGACGGGAATCTAATGGGTCACACACAAAAGAGAATTGGAAGATTGCAAATTGACAATTAATTAATTTAACAATCGTTGGATGAATGAATGAATTGGATTGGTTATTTATATCCCAAAATTAATTAATTGGATTAATTAATTCACGGACCGGATTTAATTAAATGGATTAATTAAATATTTGACCGGACCAGGCCAAATTCGTTTGGGTTTATATAAATACATGGCTAGAGTTTAAGATCCATATTGTTTTCATAATTCTTGTTGGCACAAGAAGCAAAATCCTAGCAGTTGCAGTTTATTCTCTGTGTGGATTTCATTGGAAGCTGAACAATTGGACAGTTGTGGGAAGCAGATTCAAGTTGCTGGAACAAAGAAAACGCAAAGGAGTTTGCAAAATTCAAGAAAATATATAATTCTCATCGCAGTTCTTATCTAAATAAAAAGATGAATCCTGGTGGGAATTGAAACTGTTTATTTCCGCTATGTATGTTTTAGTAAATTTCCAACAACAAGATGTTAGGTGCCTAACAAATAATGGGGAAGAACACATACCAAAAGGTTGCAAAAGTTCCTCAGATATGTTAGCCACTGGCATCCGCCAAAACCATATAATCAGCACAACAAACGTAAGAACCTGTGTGGAAAAATGATCAACGAACTTTACTGAACACCAATAAGTGATACAAATAGAATTCTCAATTATAAAGTGGTTGATGAATCACATTTCATATTTTTAAGATCTTTTCTTGTGTATCATACGAGGATTTGACCTCCTCCTCCTGTATTTCTTGATCTACAAGGTAAAACAAGTGTGCATGAGCTTCCATATCTATGAGAAGCATTAAATTATGAATGCTAAGCAAGTAGCACAAGTTCAAGTGAGGGAAGGATGAAAAATTCCCAAAAGGTGTGATGCTTAGAAAACTAGCACTAGATTGTTCTTCACACTGCTAAAGCTCCGGATATATTAGCACTATAATTTTAATATTTAACTTTCTTATGCGCTTTGGGAAGACTTGCTTAGTTTGTTACAAGCAAGCAGATAAATTTATGTGTAACCCAATCTACACAGAGAAAACTAGTGTATTCACCCAAGCTAAGAATCTAACCGCACATGCTAGTGTGCTGGAGCAGTAAAACTCACTGAGAAAAGACACATCAAGATATGCACCCACTCATGATCCAGTAAGAACTATTAGGGCATACTTGTCAGAAAATAAAAATCATACCATTTGAAATTTAATGAAGCTTTCGGTTAGATGCACATAACTTTTTATCCTGTCAAAGCCCGTAAAAAATTCATTTTGCAAGTTGCACACTACATGCTTAATACAACATGTTATGCCTATAAATTATCACTAACGCACAGGATCCCATCAGAACTCTGAAGTTAAGCGTGCTTGGGCGAGAGTTGTACTAGGATGGGGGACCCCCGGGAAGTCCTCGTGTTGCACTCCTTTGGGGGGCTACTGTTATGCCTATAAATTATCACTCCATATTGGGTCATCTTATTGGACCAGAGTCAGGCCCATTAGTGTTGGGCCCCAAAGTCGAGGCTATGACAAGGCCAACCGAGGCGCAGCCGATGCCCTAAGAAGTCTAGCTGAAGCACTTGCCGAGGTGCCTATTATTTTGCTCACCTCGTATTGGGCTCAGACTTAGGCCCACTAACTCGTTTGGCCCGCTTCACATCCATTTCTTTATATATATGGATTCAACTCACACAATCAAGGTATGTTCTACACTCTCTAGCCAAACCCCCATCTCCATACTATTGCACTTTATCTATCTATCTCCATCCGGCGTTGACTTGACCGTCGGAGTGCAAACGGTCGCCGGACCTTCTTCTCATCTGGCCGCCTTTGCCTCTTGATGGGGTGTTACTTGCGTAGGTTTCGAGGGGCGAGGTTAGAGAACCCGTTGGAGCCATTTTGGAGGTCAACAAATTGGCGCCGTCTGTGAGAAACGCTACGTTAACCATGTTATACCACATACCTAAAGGTCGTTGGAAATTGAAATATTTTCGGGTGGCAATGTTCTACCAAAAGAGAGAAGGCAACAACATTTCTAAAAACAATTTTATTTCTGGCAGAAGACATAATCAATGGGAGAAGAGAAAAAATGGCAGCCGAACCATTTGAAAAATTCCCTTGAAAAAGGGAACTTTAGGCATGAATGGAAAAAGCCGGCCAAGGGGTTGAATAAACCCACCATGAAATGGCTATTGGAAGCTAGTCTGAACTTGGGTTTTCCGGCAAAAATGAAGGTAGCAGCAAGTGAACCACAAAGCAACCACAATGAAAAAGAAAGGGGAAGGAAAGAAGTGGCCATTTATCTAATAAACTTGCACCAGTGGCAAACAAGACAAAAAAAACGACCTAAATGAAAGCAATAAATCTACCGGATATTTTCCAACAAAAAGGGGAATCTTTTACTCATAAATTGAAGCCACTAACAAGAAGAAAGACACCAACAAACAGTCAAGACTTCACCCTATTGCAAAAAGAAAATAAAACCACGGTTAGACGACTAATTCCGGCAACTAAATGTTTCTACAGCAGTCCAAACCATTGATTTAAGCACCAAAAACTACAACCATTTTCTCCACTGCCATGGCAATAGATGGTAGAAAATGAAGCATTGGCAGCCTTGCATTTTGTCACTTCCGGCCAAGACCGTTGAAGTCGTAGATGATGGGTGGTCTCCGATCTCCTCTTCTATTTTGTCCCTTAGATTAGCATTGAATGTGACAGTGATGGTGGCGTGCAAAACGAGCTCTCAATCTCAGATTTTTCAAGACTTTTGCTAGCATAGATGGGTAGGTTTTTGCAGTCAAATTTCCATCAAATTTCAGATACTTCACGTGCAGCTTGCTGTCCTCTTGTTGGGCTGAATTGTCCAATTAAATAGCTGTATATTAATTTCTGAATTTGGCCCAATTGTTGACAAAGCAAAAGGCCTTGGAAATCTCTAATCGAGATTCAGTAATGGGTACAAATAATTGGGCCTCTAGAATTTATTGGACCATACTAATACTGGACTCAAAAATTTATTTTCTCTTGGTCCACAACTCTTCCTATTATACTAAAGCATTTGAGCTTGGTGGACACTTCGGCTCTTCCAGGCTTCAATTCTTTTGGGTTCTTCCACTTCAGCCTCTACCATTAACCTGGGCAGATCCATGAGGTAAATTTTGGTGCCCATGTTAATTACTTTAATTCAATAATTACTCTCCTCTAGTGGCCCATGTTAATGGCATCTTGTATGAAAAGAGAAAATTGGCCGAAGCTAAGTGCACTAGTCGTTCATAGCAATATGACTATAAGCTGTTTTTTACCTACAAATTTTGAAACTGCCATCACACGAAAATTCTACCCGCAATCAAACAAGGGCAATAAAATGTAGAATTAATGCTTGGAAATATATTAGTTCGAGGTCACCAATTAGACATGGGTTTTTCTTAAAATCTTCAACAGACCACTTACTTCCATTAGGATTGGAGCATGGTTTAGCAGGATATAGTTTCCTTATTTATTAAGGACGAGCCCTCACACATCAAGGCTAGCTTGTGAATTCTTTATTTATTGAAGATGAGTCCCAGCTCATAGATTTCTTATTATACAAGACAGAATTTTATTAGTCCTCATTCCTTAAATAAAGGACGAGGCAAATTGTCAGATGTGTTCGCCCTTGCAAAAGGGGCATTTCCTGACCTATTCGCAGGATGCTTATTCCCCGCCTCATTATCGTCGAGCCTAGCTCTAAGTCCTCGTTTATCCGAGGCCAGCTTATAAGACTCCGATCGTTCGACATTTTACCAGATGTTTATCCCTGGCTTCGCGGGATGCTTATTCCCCGCCTCATTATCGTCGAGCCTAGCTCTAAGTCCTCGTCTATCCGAGGCCAGCCTTATACGTCTTCGAGAGTTCGATAATTCGCCAGATGCTTAACCTTGGCTCAGCAAGACTATACCTCGCCTCACTATCGTTGAGCTTGGCTCTAAGTCCTCTCCATTCCGAGGCAAGCCACTAAGACTCCGATAGTTCGACAGTTATATGCGGGATATCTATTCCCCGCTTCGCCAGATGCTTATCCCTGGCTTAGCGAGATTATTCCTTGCCTCACTATCGCTGAGCTTGGCTCTAAGTCCTCGTCATTCCGAGGCAAGCCACTAAGACTCCGATAGTTCGACAGTTATATACGGGATGTCTATTCCTCGCTTCGCCAGATGCTTATCTCTGGCTCAGCGAGACTATTCCTCGCCTCACTATCGTTGAGCTTGGCTCTAAGTCCTCCTCATTCTGAGGCAAGCCACTTTGACTCCGATAGTTCGACAGTTCGCTAGATATTTATTCATGGCTTCGTGAGATGTCTTTTCCTCGCTTCGCTATCGTCGAGCTTAGCTTTAAGCCCTCGTCCACCTGAGATCAGCTTATAAAACTCCGATAGTTCGACATTTCGTCAGATGTTCATCCCTCGCTTCGCGAGATGTCTTTTCCTCACTTCTCACTATTGTCGAGCCCGACTCTAAGTCCTCGTCATTCCGAGGCAAGTCACTAAGCCTATGATAGTTCGAGACTTATTCGCGAGATGTCTATCTCCCACCTCACCAAATGTTGTCCGCAGCTTGACAAAGTTTCAACCCTCCCGATGCGGAGTCCCCTGTGGGTCATCGCCTCGGCTGTAGCGTTACGAAAGCTTTACCGACCTTCAGCCATCTCTCGCATCGATCGCAGGTGAGCTCCTTATTCAGCTTTACAAAGTTTTGACGCACTTGACGCAGAGTCCCCTATGGGTCATCGCCTCAGTGGCTGCGTTCCCTCCTAAGCTTTACAAAGCTTCAGCCATCTCCCGCAAATGAGCTCCTTTCTCAAGCAGGCATTGAAGCTTCAGCACCTCAGTCGAAGATGTGTCCCGACCTTCAACTTCACAACCTTTAGCATCTCCTATGTGTTATCCTATGAGTCAGCGCTTCGGTAGAGACAGCTGAACCTACAACCGCAACAGCAACCATACACTCAGCTGATTTTAAAAAGTCAACGGCTGGTATAAATCAATATGCTTCAGTATCAGTACAGCTACTTATATTCAGTCTAGAGCACCGCCTCTGCTATCAGAGCATTACCTCTGCTACTACATCCAGAGCATCGCCTCTACTACTATGTCCTAAGCATCGCCTCTGCTACTATAATTAGAGCATTACTGCTGCATCCAACGCATCGCCCTTGTCGCCTATGCTACTTATATTCAAAGCATCGCCTCTACATCAACTTTATCACAATGGTACTTCAAGTCTGACCCGTATATAAATATTCGGCTCAGACTTGGGGGGCTACATATTACTGCTAGCATACGCATCACTTCATATCACTACTACCATGTCATACAGTATACGCATCACATTACTGCTTTCAAGCATGAATGACATATCACTGCTACCATGTCATATATTATTTTCATCACACTCAGTACGTATGTCGTATCATTATTATTTTCATTTTATTGTCGACATCATGTTACTTGTTTCACTATAGCACTATCGATACACTGAGCTGTGCGAGCACATAATTTACTATAATGTATGACAGACCCTCTGCACATATTTTGGAGAAATGTGATTTGTTACACCTTATGAGCATTTGAAGGGGCAAATAGACCCCAAATTTTTTTGGTATATGTGCTGTAGATATATTGTATTGTATTATAGGATTGGTTTAGTCCATATTACAGGAGAGATGCTGCCGAAATTTTCAAAAAATATGTGCAGTATATCTTTTGAGGCAATTCGTAAGCCCTCGCTTATTCTGACACACATTTTCTGAGGCGGTTCGTAAGTCCTCACTTATTGGAGCAACTCATATTTCTCGAGGCAATTCGTAAGTCCTCGCCTATTCGAGATCGATGTATATTTTCGAGGCAGTTCGTAAGCCCTCACTTATTGGAGCTACCTATCTTTCTGAGGCAATCTGTAAGACCTCGCCTACTTCTAAGTTCATATTTCAAGTCCGACCCACATATAAATAATACGACTCGAACTTGGGAGGCTACTGTTATGCCTATAAATTATCACTCCATATTGGATCATCTTATTGGACCCGAGCCAGGCCCATTAGTTTTGGGCCCCAAAGCCGAGGCCCTAAAAAGTCTAGCTGAAGCACTTGCCGAGACGCCTATTATTTTGCTCACCTTGTATTGGGCTCAGACTTAGGCCCACTAACCCGTTTGGCCCGCTTCACATCCATTTCTTTATATATATGGATTCAACTCACACAATCAAGGTATGTTCTACACTCTCTAGCCAAACCCCCATCTCCATACTATTGCACTTTATCTATTTATCTCCGTCCGGCGTTGACTTGACCGCCGGTGTGCAAACGGTCGCAGGACCTTCTTCTCATCCGGCCGCCTTTACCTCTTGACGGGGTGTTACTTGCATAGGTTTTGAGGGGCAAGATTAGAGAACCTGTTGGAGCCATTTTTGGAGGTCAACACAACACATTTTATTTATGCAAAACGAACTCACTGTGACAAGGAACTGGCCTCCTTCAATCGCTCCTAAATCTCCGCACGCAATTGAACATCCGTCCCATTCATTGATCCTTTCTATACGTTCACATGCCAAAATAAAATAAAATATTTAACCCATCCAGTCATTTTATTAATTAAAAAAAAAAAAAAAAACCCTTTTGAGGCTTAGAGTCGCGTTTGTTTCAATGCCCATATTTGCTCATCACGTCAAGCACGACTGAGTTCAGTTATGAACAACAATAATCCTTATTATTGTGCACTCACATTAAATCCTTATTATTATGCATTTCAATAATGATAATCCTTATTATTGCGCACTTACATTTATTATTGCGCACTCACATCGGAATCCATCTAGCAGAATAATTGAAGAAGATGAATCCGTTTTTTATGTCACATTTGAGGCGGCTTTTATACGTTAGGCCACTACCAAAGTCGCCATACTAACTCCTTAGAACATGTTTGGTTAAGCTTAAAATATGTAAAGATAGCCCTTGTTTGAATCCCATTTTGAGGAGAAAAATGCGTTTTTAAATAATGATCGATGGAGAATGTGTGATTAAAAATTAAGAAAAAATTTTAAATTTGTGTGTAATATTATTTTGTTGAAAAACGTGCGATTGAAAATGAATTTTTAGAAGAATGGGGATCAAACAAGGGCTTGACCATTACTAGGCGGGCCTAGAGTAGCCCATATATTTGGGCGGGTTAGGCCCAGTTTCAAATCCATGAACGAGCCCGGACTACCTCAAAACGCTGAAATCGATGAGAGAGAGAGAGAGATGAGGGGAGTGGGGGGGCCATTATTGTGTATAGGCGATCTGCTGAACGACGTCGGAGAAGGGGATTCCGGTGTACCACACGACCACCCTAATCCGTCGCCTTATGCGGCTGAAACTTCTAATCTGCAGCCGTCTGATCTTCCCAAGCTCTTCCAGGTATTCTCCCGGGGATTCTCTCTCTTTTTTTTTTTTTTTTTTTCCCCCTTTGCGCTGAATTGAAATTATTCGCTTTATTGTGGTATAGAATCAAGCAATTGTATAGTTTTTATATTTTTTAAAATACTAGCCCTGTAGTCTATGCGTTAATTCTCAATCTTGTGATCTTTTTATGAGCTAATCCAGTGATGAAAATATGGGATTTAATTATCTTGCTCTTTTGTCAACTAAATGAATGAATAAAAAAAGATGTAATTTTTGCATTTTCCTGGGTTAGTGTAATATCTGGGAGGGTAACTAATATGCACAAAACAAATAAGCAAACTTGTATTGAATGTGGTGTGAGAGATATTCTTATTCATGATAGTGCAATTTGTTGGATTAGAAAGATCAAAATTTTGTAAGTCTGAACTGCAAAATAGAGAACTCAAGTAGCCTAAAGTGGTATAAACCAAATACAGAACCACAATGTCCATATTGTTGCAAAGAGAGATAGACTGAAATCCAAATTGAGAGATTAATGCCACCAGTCTCTTCAGTTTCTACCTTCACGTCTACACTACACTTCATCTGATCAACATATTAGGACACACATTCTTCCTTCCAATATCGTCTCTGCAATCTCACACTTGGAAATTTTGGTGTTCCATGTTATAATGGATTTTGATGCTCCATGTAGTCTGCAGTTGAATATTTCAATGCCTAGCCTAGCAAACATTGCCAAAAAGGGAAGGAAGATGGTGAAAACATGTTTTATTTTAAATATCAATGTCCTTCCCATGTATTATCTTTTGATTAATAAAATTATCTGATTACCTGTCAAACAAAGAAATTAAATAGCAATATCTTTGGGAGTGTTTTTTTAGTAATTTTCACATAATACGGGATTCTGTTTAATTGTTCAAAACCAAATTCTGTACCAAAATTCAAACTTTTTTATTCGGTTAAACTGAATGGGACTGTGAATAGGAAAATCTGAATGAGAACTAGAATCTGTGTTTGGTTTCAGTTAAGTTTAGTACCAAATTTGGTTCTTTCACCGACAAGGGACAAGTGCTCCACATATTTTGTGACCAATTTGAATTTGTGAAGAGTGGAAACACAATGTTTTTCCTTGAAGACCCAACTGTGTTGTAATTGACAGGGAATGAGAAATGATGTACGCTTCCGTAGTTTAGGTAGTTTTCTGATAATTATGTGTTTCCTTTTTTCTTCTTCAACTTAGGCAGTCTTCTAAGGATTCAGCAAATAATATTGTCCTCTGCTGCTTCTCTCTTTTTGTCAGTAGGATGATGTTTCATCTCACTGTCCTTTTAGAATAGTTGTACTTGTGAAATTAATAGTCATTATGTGATCAATCATGTGTTTTCCACACGAAGAAACTAACTGCTCTACGATAGAGGCAGTCTCGGTTTATGTCCTTGGTTCTGTAACCTGAACTTATTACCCAAGAGTTCTTTGTAGTTGAAGCGGCTGAAACTGGTTCTGTAACTGCCTAAATGGGTAGGATTGGCCTTCCTTTTTGCCATGGAAATGTATGGATTATGGAATCATGAAATGAGTACAGAGAAATTTATCTTGTAAACGTTATTAGGGGGCCTGTTTAAGCCACGTTATTTTCCAAGAATGCATTTTGGAAGAGTAAATTGATAGAGAGTATGTGGTTAAAATATAAGAAAAAGTTTTGGGTTTGCGTATAATATTATTTTATTGAAGAATGTGTGGTTGAAAATGAGAGAGGAAAAAATGTATTTTGAAAAAAAAAAATGGGGATCAAACAAGGGCTAGATAATAATGTATATGTATATAATTAGCCCTTTCTTCAGGAAAACTGTAGTTTTTGAAATCATAGGAAGTGGGCAAAGGGGTTTACGCCATTTCGGGCAAGGAAGGATTTCAGCTCACCCTTGCAATAAAATCATTGTTTCCCATGGTAATCCTAGGAAGAATTTGTTCTTTCTCCTGCTCTAGCACATAGAATTTCTTTTTTTTTTTTTTTTTTTTTTTTTTAAAAGCACATATTCCTCAATAACTAACAGGTTTATTGCTTTTCTAGGAAAACTTTGACCAATTGAAAGCAGCATTTGACGGTGAAGATCACTCATGGACAGCACTCACGCTTAAGGTACTATTATTTTCTCTTTGTTAATTGTTCTGGCACAACATATTCATAACTGTAACTTCCTTCTTTTCCTTCATTTAATTTATCTTAATGTTTGTTTGGGAGAGGTTATTTGAAGTGAAAAAATGAATTTTTTGGAGAATGTATGGTTATAAAGTAAAGAAAAGTTATGGGTTCATGTGCAAAATTATTTCATTTGGAGACCGTGTTATTGAAAATGAGTATAAGGAAAAATGATTTTCAAATAAACCGTGCCAAACAAACGCTAAATGTTGTGGCAAATATTAGCCCTACATTATCTTCAGAAAGTTTGTAGACAGAATGTTATCTTGTGCCTTCAAGATTTTGACTTTCATCTTCCTGTTGTTATCTCTGTTTTTCTTTCTTCATCTTGTTGTTTCCCGCATTTATAGGATTATTAATTATCCAGCACAATCTTTACTTATTTTTTGAATGTGGATTATCATACTCGCTGGAGATGTAAACTGCTGCCTCAACTACTGTCCTTACAGACCTAGGAAGTCCTGGTAAAATCCATGTGCCAAGCTGGGCCTAGTTTCCATGTCTCTCTGCTCACTGCCAGAACCAAAATTTTTGGGCTTTGGTGGTTTTTTCGTTTTTAACTTTTCTGTCAAAAAGTATAATGTAGGCTGTGCCTATCTGTCACGGCCCACTTTAAATGTGTCATACTTGCGGATCCTTTTAGGCTGAAGAAATCCTGCGTGCCATTGTTTATAAAACAAAATGGACATAATTTATGTCGTGATTTATTCAGAACTTAGACTATAAGAGTAGTGGCCGCCCTTCCCCTCTCTCACAGCAAAGGCAAATTCACTAACAGTTTGAATGTTTCTTTACTCAATTGTAGCTATGCTCTGCTATGGAAACTGCAACCAAATTGGTTGAATCTTCCAATTCTCGTGTTAGCATTTTGTCAGAGAACGTCAGGGATCTTGAGAAAATTGTAACCAGGAGAGATTCTGCCATAGCTGAAGCCAACAACATTCAAGGTTCGCTTAAATCTAAGGATCTTTCCAATGAAAATTCAAGGAAATGATGGCCGGCATATGATATCACGAGAATAGAGTATATTGTAAAATTACTTACTTGATATCCAGATGTAAAGTTGTTTGTGTTGAAATGACGAATCTTCTTCTCATAATCTATGATGGTACACCTTCGCATACTATATGTAACGACCCTTTGTTTTCGTTGTTATTGTTTAATATTATTGAGTTCATGTGCTGCTATTTTTGAATTTAGGACTTTTGAATCCTTTGTAACGAAACTTAACTGAACTTTCAGTGAAATCTCAATTGGGTCGTTAAACTTTGATTTGTGACTTAATTTCGTCTCACTTTGATCATTGAACTTCAATTGCCTGAAATTCTTAGGCATAACCTTTATAAAAAATGTTCGTAGATATTCAACGTCAACATTTTGCAAATTCATGACGTTCACATTAAAGGCCTATCGGTACTCAATGTCAACATTGTCAATTCAAGTACTCAACGTAATGTAAAAATATTAATAGAAGATATAAAATTATAAACGATAAAAAAGATTGTGGCAGTTGTCCTGACATCAGTTTAATCTTAATTAATTATTACATTAAC